GGTACCAGTTACAAAGACTGGGGTATAACTAGGTATACTCTAGAGTTTTCCAATTTGGTGCCTTTGATTTTGTGATCCTACTCCTCCTCCTCTCTAAGAAGAGAATTGTTACTCCATGACTAACAGCTTTGTTAGCTTTATAATTTTATATGCATTTTGGGGACATTAAAAAATATGTAACAGGTAAAAAAAAATACGTAACAGGTTATCAGGGGTTGTCTCATTATTTCTTAGAACAAAGATCTCCAACTATTTTGTGAGAAAGTGCTTTATTATTTCCTTGAAGTTTGAAATCAGTGGGATAGCAAAGGACTGACCAGTCCTGGGAACTGCGGTGAAGATGGGGATTAGCTGGTGGAAGAAAGTAAGGTCAAATTAGAGGAGGGGTTCTTGACATTAAGGTTCACGTTTCTACTGAAGTCCTAGCAAACCAGATGCTGTACCCATCTCAAAAAGATGAGTTCTAAAGTGGGAAGGAGGTTCCATATAACATTTGGGAAATAACAACTTAGAGAAATTTTGAAGTTAGATTAAACGATTAAGAAAATTTTCATTATATTTGAAAAAGTCTTTCTGACTTTCTAGAATATTGTCAATCAGGCATCATTTGCTTCTATCTTTTCCAAGTTGTTGAACACTAATGTGTTTTTTATACTAACTCAGTATGGCTGAAGAGAAGGAAGCAAAAATTGCCCAGCAAAATTCATACACTAGAAAATGGGAGAATCTAAATGAAAAAGAAAATCTACATTCTTCCTGAGCACCAGGAAAAGAATGATGAATACAAATTGATTTTTCAACGACATTTATAAAAAATTAAAATTCAGGAAAAGTTTCGAGGGAAAATGAACATGAAGGAATTATTAATACTAGGAGTTATATCTTAAGAATGAATAAGAGATATTTTCAAGGATAGTTAAAGGTATGGAAAAAGAAATAGTGTAATATCCCCACCAGTAATATATGTGCCCTAGGCAAGACGGTAATATTTTGGAATTTTATACTTCTGATAGTATCTCCTATTTCGGGGTTTGGTTAAATTCATTTGTGAGTGTAAGAATTTTAAATTCCAGTTTCCTGAAGCATAAAGAAACAGAGAAGGTGCAAAAATAGAAGTGAACTTGAAGAACAAAATCAAAGTAAATGTGGCTAGAGAGTTGTCAGCAAGAGGAGAATGGTAGGAAATTAAATGGGACAGGTAGACTGTGGTCAAGTCAGATAGGTAAGGGAGTTTGGTCATGGTAGGAAATTTTCACTTTATACAGAATGCAATGGAAAGGAATTGGAAATTTTAGAAGAGTAAAATTATCTGGTTTCAGTACAGAAACATAGAACTCTCTTTCTAAGGTGGAAATGCTCAGAGAGCTGTAGCTTTATGAAGCAATATTCCCATCCATAAGTCATGTTGTCTTCTCTTCAAACATGTTACATGTTTATCATATAAAGTACCAAGTGATCATATCATATGATATATATCATATCATATCATAAAGTACCAAGTGATTCCTACTGTTACATGTAACAGTAGGAATCACTTGGTACTTTATGGATGGCATATGATAAAAATAAGTGTTGAATCATCTTGTGAACCAAAGAGTTTCTCTCTCTTCTATAAAGCAAATACATGTTTTATTTCATTTTGAAAAAGTAAATATAACAATTGAATAAATGTCACAGCCCAAATAATCCAACTGAAAAACTTTTTTAAAAAACTTCAAAAATTAGTTGTTAATCTGGATCTTTAAAACAGATTTTTTACTAATGTCGTTGAAAAGTTAAGTATAGATTTAGTGTAAAATGGATTGTTTAAAAACTGCTATTTGATTAATTTTCCACAGGTATAACATTGTCAAATGCAATGGTAAATGCAGGTTTGACCTCCTTTAAAAAAATAGAAGAAACAGATGCAAGGGAACTTGAACTGGTATTTAATATTCACTTATATCTAATGTTACCTGAATTTTATCTAAATTTTAAAGCCTACCTTTTGTATCTTTTTTTCTTCTAAAAATTTTTTTTCCTTCTCATAGTCATAAGTATTTTAACTTAAGGTTTTGAGAATAAGCATTATTAAAACTATTGATACTGAAAAGTATTTACTAAAAGAACTTCTAGCCTTGTGGTAAGAATATAATGATATAAATGTTTTTAGATTTTAAATAGACACCCCCCTTTTGGAACGCAAATAAAAGAAACAGTGATGTATCTGCCAAAATATGAACTTGAAGTGGAACAGGTAAATTTTTTTTAAAGGTATTTTCATTGTCTTTTCAGGAATAAAGCTACCCATAGCTGACTTGGAGCTGAATAAGAGTAGTAAGGTTATTTGTAACACTTTTTATGCCTATTCTTTTTTTAAAGATTGCAAGATATAGTGACACCATGGCAGAAATATTAGTGACCATTACATTAAGAAATTTTGAACAGCTACAAACTAAAAGAACAGCACCAGATTCTCACTATGTTACCTTAATCATAGGTGATGCAGATAATCAGCTGGTTTTTAAGCACAGAATTATGTAAGTATATGATTTCCACTTGATTCTATTTCTAAGCATATACTATAAAAGAAAAATTCTGCTGAGAAAGAGTAGCAAAATCACTGTGGGATTAATTAAATTACATTTTCCTCATGCTGTAATGGGGTAGTTTCTTGTCTGTTAAAGAAAGTATTAATATTGGGTCTGTTGTCAGTACCCAAATGAATAGTGTGAAATCTGTCACCATGGTTTGTTTTGTTTTGTTTGTTAACAAGTGAATAAATGACCTTTAGGAGTAGCTATAGCCCACTGTTGTTGAAGTTTCTTATTTTTTGCTTTTCTCCAGTCATTCACAACCTTACTACCCTTTCATTATCTTCCTCCTGCTCCTTCAGGATTTATCTAATATTTCCAAAATAAAATCCAGCAAACTACTATAGCTCCATTGTAGGATCAGGCAACCAGATCAAATATATAAAGAAGGTACCTTCCCTTACACCTGGTTCTCTAGCATGCCATTCTATTATTTTTACATTAGTCTTTTTTCTGATAGTGTTATTTCTCCCAGATGCCCTAGGCAAACTCTATAAGGTTAGCAGTTATAGGTATAACTAATATTTTTTGAGCTCTTCATAGGTTCCAGGTAATGAATTATTTAATCTTTGTATAGACAGGTGCTATCATTGTGTTAATAGAGGAAGAAATTGAGACAGAGAGTTTAATCAATTTGTCTAAGGTCTTATAGGTAGTTTATAGCAAAGTCTGGGTTTAAACCCAAGTAGTCTTACTCCAGAGCCTATGCTCCTAATTGTATTACTTTACTTATAAGTTCAGGTTTAGCAGTGACTCAGAAATGGGATTCTCCTCATTGTTGCCAGAGCACTGGAAGATATCTTCCCAAAATCATCTGTGCAAGGTTCCTAGAGGGACTACAGTGCCTAATAGAACATCCCTTTCACTGTTAACTGCTTTACTGCAGCAGCTATGACACATTTATAGAGAATATGTCATTGTACAAATCTTTGTTTTCCGTGATAAGTCCGAAGACAGTTTTGTATATATAAAGCTAAAATAAATTCAATCACAAAATTGGTTGCTGGTTTGTGATGTTATTGGATGCAGACTATTTTATGAATTTTAAAGATACTATTCAAGTTCTCACAAATTCGTGTAACTTATATATAGCCATTTGAAAGTGGTAGTGATGTAGGGGCAAGCTCATGGGTTGTTGATATCAACTATGTATTCAGGTGGACCTGAAATGAAGCAATTTAACTTGGAGTCAGCTGTTTGGCCAATGTGTAGTTAGAAAATTATGGTTGTGGTAGCCCCATTGACACTCCATTTCTTCCTCCTTAGAATTTGCAGCAAGTAATTTTCAGTACTGACTTTAGTTTACTACCAGATAGGACCTATGTAAGGGTCAGTCTGCCCTTGATGATTAATATATTATTTCATTAAGTATTCCAATTACAATTTAAATGATGTTATTCTTTTTCAGGGATTCTGTTTTGCTAAAAGCTGGAAATTGGACTAAAAAGATTGATGTGAAGAGAGCTTTTAATTCTGAAGATCTCAGCATAAATCTAATTAGTTCTGAATATGGTAAGTTCATCGAAGTAATGAACACATAAATGTAAAGAATATGATAGCATTTAAAAATTTCCTTCATGCTGAAACAGAAAAGCAGTTTAAATGATATTGTGTAAAAATAATCTATTTAAATAATATGAGTAATTTTAAAGGAAGTTTCATATATTCAGATAAGTGAAAGATAGCATGGACTAAGATAACAAAATTAAAATTGTATCTGTTCATTTATAAGTATTTTATTTTCCAAGATAATAAAATTTCAATTGTTATAGGAACATTGATTTTTATTTTTATGATGATAAATGTATAAATTTTAACTTATTTTTTTTATTTAATTTAATTTTTTCAGTGTTCCATGATTCATTGTTTATGCACCACACCCAGTGCTCCATGCAATACATGCCCTCCTTAATACCACCACCAGGCTCACCTAACCCACCACCCCCCTTAACTTGTTATATTTTTTAACTCTTGTTTTTTTATATATATTTTTATTTCCTGGACTTGTTAGCTCTTTTATTTCAAAAGGTATAGAAATGTGAAAGATATAAAAACAAATAAATGATCTCCTGGCTAGATTTATAGGACTTAAGTACTTGTATACTCTTTTCATTTTTCTAGTTGGACTCGATATTCAGCAGAAATTTACAGTCTTTTACTTAGGACCGAAGAGGCTTGAAAATCAAATAGTAATGCGAAAAAAATCAGAAACAGAGATTTCCCATTCTAAACATTCAAATAGATCTACGATAGCAGGACCCAATAAAGGTAAATAGCTATATTTATTACTGTATTGCATTAAAGCAAAGTTATAGCTAGGGAGGAGTATCAGTGTTATAGTACTGCTTCATTCAAGATGTAGATACTTGGGAATTAGATGTTTAAGCTTCATAATAATTACATTAATAATATATAGTAGGATTTCTTATAAATAATATTTGTCAAATTGGTTTGATATTTGGAGCACAGTTTATTTGACTAGTTTTTGATATACAGTGCCCCTTTTTTTCTAAAAGCCATTGTTGGAGAAGAGCAAATGATATATAAGACTTTATAGATTTGATGAGGCAAATCAGGTGACAGTGAACGTAAGAATTTTTTGTTACAGAATATTTCAAAGATACACAAAACTGGACAGATCTGTATAATGAACCCTTATGCACTCATTACCTACCTTAAACAATGTTCAACTCATGGCTTATATTGTTTCATCTGTACCTCTCTTCAGTTTTCCCCTTCTATATTTTAAAGAAAATCATGTTATATCCTCTGTAAATGTTTCAGTGTATATTTGTATATGGTGAGGATTTAAGAAAAAACATAAATATACTACTCTTACATATAAAAAGCTAATAGTAACTAATATCATCCAATACTGAGTTAATATTCAGCTTGCTAATTACCTTATATGTAAGGGGAGTAACTAAGAGGTACTGAGGAATGTGAAAGCAGTAGCTCCTATCAAAGTAACCTAGACAGTTGTGCTTTCTGAATTGGTAGTTAAAATAAACAGTAACTTCAGAATTCAGAGATTTATTATAATTATAATAATTATATATATTATTAATATATAATTTTATAATTATATTAATTATATATAATTAATAATTATAATTAAATAATTATAATAATTCAGAGAATTATTCTGTGAACCCATGAACACTCATCTCCACCTCTTTAAAGAACACAGAGTAGGGTGCCTGAGTGGCTCAGTTGATTAAGCATCTGTCTTTGGCTCAGGTTATGGTCTCACATATGAGCCCACATCAGGGCTCCCTGCTCAGCAAGGAGTCTTCTCCCTCTCCCTCTGCCCATCTGCCTGCTCATATCTCTCATGTGCTCTTTCTCTCAAATAACTAAGGTCTTTAGAAAAGTGGGGGGGCACCTGGGTGGCTCAGTAGGTTAAGCCTCTGTCTTCGGCTCGGGTCATGATCTCAGGGTCCTGGGATCAAGCTCCACATCGGCTCTCCTCTCAGTGGGAAGCCTGCTTCCCCCTCTCTCTCTGTCTGCCTCTCTGCCTACTTGTGATCTCTCTCTCTCTCTCTCTCTGTCAAATAAATAAATAAATAAATCTTTAAAAAAATAAAAAATAAAATTAATTAAAAAAAAAAACACAGAAGAGCTCCCATTTCTGGGTAGGATGCAGTAGTTTGTGGCAGGCCAGTGTACCAACAGTAACAACTATAAAGCCTACCTAAGTTATAAATATTACAATTTTTAGGACATCAGTGAAAGCAGACTAAAGGAACTAAAATTCCAGAGGGAGAACCATTTCAGGGCTGAGGAGTCAAGGACCTGTAGGCTCTTAATTAAAAGCCTAAGTATGCTATGCTCTCAAAAGGGATTTATGTGATCAGCCACTCACCATGTTTGCCTAACACAGGAAAAAAGAAACCTTCTTTGGTGTAATATAATATAATTTGGAATTTACAGATACAATGTTTGCCGTATAATAAACACTGACAACACATTCACAGAGGCAAGACCATATGACTTATAATTAACAATATAAAGGGAGTAAAACACTCTGTAGATGATTCAAATAAGAGAGCTAGCATTTAAAGATTCTAAAATAACTATGATTAGTATTTTCAAAAAATAAAAGGAAAAAAAATGTATGAAAGGCTGAGAAGTTTCACCAGAAAATTATAATCCACACAGAGATTTAAATGGACTTTCCTGAATTGAAAAATACATTATCTGAAGTGAAAAACTTATTGGTAGGTTTAATAATGGATTGGAGGGGCGCCTGGGTGGCTCAGTGGGTTAAGTAAGCGTCTGCCTTTGGCTCAGGTCATGATCTCAGGGTCTTGGGATTGAGCCCCACATCGGTCTCTCTGCTTGGCAGGGAGCCTGCTTCCCCTTCTCTCTCTCTCTGCCTGCCTCTCTGCCTACTTGTGATCTCTGTCTGTCGAATAAGTAAATAAAATCTTAAAAAAAAATTATGGATTGGATATAGCCAAACTCAGGATCTGTGAACTGTTAAACATAGCAAGAAAAAATATTCAAATTAAATCCCAGAGATAAGAGAATGGAAAGAACACAAAAAAGCATAATACTCAAAAAGTTCTAAAATATGCATAATTAAAATCTCTGAAGCAGAGAAGGAAAAGAATGGGGCAAATGTAATATTCAGAGACAATGGCCGAGAACATTCCAAAATAATGAAAGACATCAACTCATAGATTCAGAATTTTAGCAAACCCTAGGAGGTAAATGCACAGAAAACCACAACTGGGCACATTGTAGCAAAACTGCTGAAAATCTTAAAAGCAGACATGGAAAAATGAAATATTACCTTCAAAGGAGGAACAGTGAAACTGACAGCTGGTTTATCAACTGTGATGATAGAAACAGAAGATAATGGACCAACAGCTTCAAAATGTATTAAAATGATGCTAACCTGGATTTCTGTGCCCAGTGAAAGTATCTTTAAAAATAAAAGTGAAATAGAGATATTTTGAGGAAAAACAAAACAAAACTGAAGCACTCCAACACAATCACTAGATTTATTGGCCTTCAGTAAAAGAGATACTAAAGGGAGTTCCTTAAAGGAAAATGACCACAGATGAAGGTGCAGAAATGCTGGAGGGAATGAAAAACAGTAGAAAGGGCAAATAAATGGCTAAATTTACTATTATAAATTAAACTCAATTGGCTATTGTACAGCAGTAATTGAAATGACTTGTAGAGTTTTAAATATATGTAGAATTAAAATCAGAAATGCTCTTACCTCAGGACTATAACACATCAAATATAAGGAATATAGAAAGACAGAAATAATAAAGAGAAAAGCAGAAGTGAATGAAATATAGAATGTAATGTACAACAGAAAAATCAACAAAGCTAAGATTTGGTTCTTTGAAATGATTAATAAATTTAAGAAGCCCTTATCAAGACTGATAAAGAGATAAATACAAATTAACAATAGTAGGAATGAAAAAGGGGATACCACTACAGACATCAAAAAGAAAAGCTATTGTGAATTATTTTATATCAATAAATTTGACATAATTTGGGTAAAAATGAACAAACCCTCGAGAAGCAAAACTTACTGACAGAAAAAATAGAAAATTTTAGTGGTCTGATACTAGTAATGAAATTGAAGCAATTAAAAATCTTTCCACAAAGAAATCCAGAGCATCAGGTGATTTCACTGGTGAATTTCCCCAAACATTTAGGAAAAAATAGTATCAAACTTACCCAAACTTTTTCGGAGAATAGAAAAAGAAAAAATAGTTTCTAATGCTGTAATTTTTTTGAACAGAGCCAACACAGGGATCTTGATTTCAAGACCTGACAAGGACATTAATAGAAAGGGAAATTATTCACCAGTGTATGTCATGGAAATAGCTCCAGACGTTCATAACAAAATATTAGCAAGTAGAATCCAGCCATATATTTAAAAGTCATACTACAGTACAATTAAGTATGGCTTATTCCATGTATGTAAGAGTGCCTTAGCATTCAAGGATGGATCAGTGTATTTCACTACATTAACAGAAAAAAAAAACCACCCATGTGATCCTCTTGATAGAGGTCAAAGAAATTTGACAAAAATTCAGTGCTCATTTTTTATTAAAAAAATATATATATATAACAAATGTGGACAGTAGTGAAATAGTTTAAAAACTTTCCTATTTAGATGGAGAATGACACAAGAATGTTCTCTATTACTATATCTATTTAACATTATGCTAGAAGTCCTAGTCAGTACAGTTATATAATAAAAAGAAATAAAAGTGATAAGGAGTGGGAAGAAAGAAATAAGCTGTTGTTACTTGAAAGCAACATGATTATAGGGACACCTGAGTGGCTCAGTCAGGTAAGTATCTGCCTTCTGCTCAGGTCATAATCCCGGTCCTGGGATCAAGTCCACATCAGGCTCCTTAATCAGTGGGGAGCCTGCTTCTCCCTCTCCATCTGCCCACTTTTCCCCCTGCTTATGCTCGTTCTCTCTCCCTCTCTCTCTCTGTGTGTGTGTGTGTGTGTGTGTGTGTGTGTGTGTGTGTGTTAAATAAATAAGTAAAAGTCGAAAAAAAAGAAAGATGCTTATATACCTAGAAAATCCAAAAAACTGTAGACACACTGTTAGAATTAATATATAAAATTGGAAATATCACTGGATACAGAGTCAATATAAAAAAACTACAATAGCACTAAAAAGAATAGGGTATCTAAGAATACATTTAATAAAATTAGTGCAAGATGTGAACACAGGAAATTACAAAACATCACTGAGAGAAATTAAAGAAGACCTAAATAAATGGAAAGATATCCTATGTCCACGGATTGGAAGTCTTCATATTGTTAAGGTGGCAAAATTCCAAATCAATTCAAAGCTAGCAAAATCCTAACTCTGCTTTGGCAGAAATTCACAAACTGATTTTAAAATTCATATGGGAAGAGGGAGACAGGCGGTGGAAGATTAGGGAACCTTGTTTCACCTGGTCCCTTGAATTTAGCTAGATAACTATCATACCATTCTGAACACCTATGAATTCAACCTGAGATGTAAGAAAAGAATCGCTGGAATTCTACAAATAGAAAAGCAACCAAAAAAACTACCTTTTTGCAAGGTAGGCTGAGAAGTGAATCCGAGGGGATGTATCAGGAGATAAATGGGAGTGGGAGGGAGCCTCCATATGCCAGCTTCTGGAAAGTGATATAGCCCCAGAGCACAAAATCAGAATCTAGAAGTCTGCTCTAGTAAGAGACGTCCTTGCCTGATAGGTGCTCAGGTGGCAAAGTGGGGCAGAATTCTAGGT